ATTAAATAGTTGTTTCTGCAATCATACATGTTAATCAAATGAAAATAGAAGTAATGGCTACTGTTTTTTCTTTAGCATTGTACATATTTAAAATATAACAGCATAAAGCAGTATGTTGTCATCAGTAAATGAGTCGTGGTAGGCGTTGGTGGTGCTGATCGGTAAAGATGCAGCCCTGCAAATTTATTCTTATATCACTGCTGCCTGAAGGGCCTGCACTTGACAGAACTCTAGATGGTCCCTCCAGAACTTATTTGGCCTTAACGTTCACAGTGGCCAGACGTTCTTGAAAGAGGTTGGAGTTACCCACCCTTTCCCCCACCATATGCGACCTGCCATTGGTGGTGCCGACGTGTGTGGTTTTTTTTCCCCCCCATTATTGCCGGTTGTTGCTGGGTGGATCCCGCGGCGCTGCGCTCCCGTCCACAGAAGAGGCGTGTGCCGCTGCCGGCGGGGATGGCCGGACGCCCTCGCTCGGCAGTTGGGTTCTCGCCGGCGCGAGAGGGACCGCCGTTTCTCGCGGAGTCTGAACGCGCGTCCGTCGTCACTACGGCCTCCAGCACGTTGGGCCGGCGGAACGTCCCGCAGATGTCGTCGGCCTACTACATGTTCCCTTCGAATGACACCGAAAACAGGTTGGTGGTGGCGGGGGGGGGGGGGGCACGCTTGCGCGTCCAATCAATCATTCACCCCCAGCAACTGCTCATTTGACACGTTTGTTTTCCAGAAGTTGAGCTTTTAGGTGACATAGTAACAGATCACGACACCTTGCTGTTAAAAAAAAAAAGTGTTAATACTAAAGCTATTGCCCAAACCGTTCCATCAATTGTCGGCATATATTGTATTAATATTCATTGGACTTTCATAACAGGCTACCCACAGCCTCCATTAACTTTTTTCTTGTTGTTTTGTTTCAGGTCTTTTGAAGGCTTTCTCTTTAAACGAGGAGCCTTGCTTAAGGGATGGAAACAGAGGTTATTTGTTCTGGACAAAACCAAGCATCAGGTAATCTTATGAGCTGCATTACCTATGCTTGCATGCATTTGTGAACGCGCATGCACACGTACATAAAATAATGTTCCCATGAAATCCAGGTATGTTGACGTCAGGTACATCGGATGTTTTGGCATATTAGATAATAACAAGGCATTGGCGTGTCCGTGAGCATTGAGAAATTGATTTCCAATTTACCGTGAATTTTGGTAAGCCGTCAGCAGTGGTCTTCATGCGGGGTTGCACATAGCATCGTTGAGATGTGTTTGTTATGTTTTGCTTCGGTGGAATGGCCCAATGGAGGTAAAGGGTGCACAATGACGTGGCTCTGTACACTTTGACGCATATCTTAGGTGCATAGTGAGTTTGAACAGAACCTTCGGAATGTGGAGACGCTAAGTCCTTAAAACCAGCATTTACGTCATTGTGCTCCATTTTATTGGATAAAGGTAACCACTGCCACTCAGATGAATACATCATTTAAGCACATTCCTTAGCAGAGAGCGTAGTGTAAAAGTTGAGGGAATATAATCCTCTGTGGCTTTTAGCCCCTATGAGTGATTTTTAACATTCAAACAAAAGTGTACTAAGATCATCGCGGTACACAGCCCTGCCATGCTCTACTTCACATCATTATCTTTGGATTGAGCTATGAGATGTACACTGGCCGGGTTCTCTCCCACTCTTCGCCCTTCGTCACCACAGCTGCGCTACTACGACTCTTATGAGGACATGACCTGCAAGGGCTTCATCGACCTGGCGGAGGTGGAGAGTGTGGCAGTGGGGACGCCCAGTCTCGGAGCGCCCAAGACCGTGGATGAGAAGGCCTTCTTTGACGTGAGCAAGCCACCGCCGCCACTTTGTCACCCAGCAATCATCTACCCTGCGCAGAGATAACATCTTTATGGGTCACCAATAAAGTTTGGAAAACACTGTTCTCTTAATTGGTGGTGTTAGGTATTGACACGTAATCTGGCATTGTTACTCGTTTTGCATTCACCACTTTATAATCAGTTTCATATCCAACGGTGTTCTTTTGTGGACTGTTGCTTCTCTTTTTTTTTAAATGGCTCCTTATGGGTTTGAGTATTTTACCAGTCCGTGAGCAGCTGTGAACTCTTGCTTGACAATCTGCTTGCTGACTCAATCGCTTGTGTAATTCTCACCATTGTGTTTTGCAGCTTAAAACCACAAAACGTGTTTACAACTTCTACGCACCTGATGCACAGCTGGCACAGCAGTGGATTGACAAGATTCAGGGCTGCATCTCTGATGCGTAGAACCCAGATTTCTTCCTTTCCGCGACCCGCCCTCTGACCCCGACTGTGTGTAAACTGTAGGACCATCTTGACGGAATGGTTTGGCTGCATTAACCATGTGCACACGAAATCACGCCAACACGAACCCTGCCTGCTTGCTTCTTGCAGCGTTTGATTTATCTTGTTTTTTTGCCATAATCGATTGCAAGAGATGAGGCAGCGACGTTCATGTTTGCATGTTAACCTGTAAATGTAGCCAACGATCAACCGTCCAGCACTGGAGTCACCTGCACTGTGTACCACTCTGTCATCATACAGAGAGCAGAGCATATTCGAGAAATGCACACTTACGTTCATGTCGCTTAGTCACCTTTTGCAGAAAGGTGATGAGTTTTAAACCCCAGCTGTTTTACCCAAAGTGTCCATTTTCATTTAGATACAGATGGATTTTTGGAAATGTTCGTTGCATTGTGTAATGGAAATGTGATTTGCCTCAAATCTGGCCAGTGTAGGGGAAGAGAGTTACAATCAGTAGGTGTCGGATCAGATATGTATTTTTTTATTTGGATTTTTACTCCACCTTTTTAAACTCTTTATGAATGTCACGGCTAAGCTGTCTTCTGTGAACATATTGTATTAAGTGGATGCTTGCCATGGTGCAGTTATGTGCCATCGAAAGCCACTGGTTTCGTGTGATCGGCCTATAAAACGGCTACAGGTGGAAAATCCTGCACGTCTCTTGTTTACCTTTCCACCCCCAACATCCATTGGACAAAGAAACACTATGTGAGCCAGTGTTCTCAATGTGGGAACCTATACGTAACATTTGCGCAGCCCACCAAAGAGTCTGATTTTACACCGTGGCACACGTGCAATGTTGACACACGTTAGAGGTCAAACTTACCACCCTGTCTTGTGAAAGAAACTTAGGTCAGCATGCTTTATATCGTGCACGGTATCAATTGAGAGAAGCATTCTGCTCTGACAGTGAGGATTATGTTTTGTTATTCATCCCACCCCCTGGCATTTGGATTGATATTCACAGTAGGGTTAACCCCGTCGGGATAGGCTCTTGTAATGCGAGTCATCTATTGAATTAAGTGCAACCCACCTGTAGTGAGTGCTTGTTACAGTCTAAGGCAGCAGTTAAAAAAATAATCCCCGGTATACAGTTTTTATTTGTGTTCTTCATTCGCATGTGATTTGTGATTATACGTTCTGCACAACCGTCAGTTGGCTCCAATGGAAAGCTTGACTGTGGGTAGGTGGGGTCTGGGTTGTTTCGGTGTCGTGATGAACACCTCGTGGTAGAGGTGACACTTGAGTGTTGTGGCCATCGGCCACTTGGCCAACATTCCTCCATCTAACAGCTCAAAAGCACTGCTTTATGTAATGCGTTACGGATGCTGCACTGTGGTCTTGGGGCCAAACCGGCCACCGGGGTGGAGTTTGGCCGTTAAAACTTGCGGTTGTGAAATGCTTTGTGCGCACGCACGAAAACGGCGAGTGATGTTGCTGTTGAAGGTCAGCCATTAAATGACCAATCAAAAATGCTCCCGTACAAAGGTGGCACACTGGGTGGATTCCAACGCTCAGGCACAAATGGACTGCCAGCCCCACCTCTGCCGCCCCGACCTCCGCCGCCTCTGCAGCCACTCGCGTTTGCACCCGGGTTTGGGAGATTAAAGGGGCCTCCGTAATCCATTCCTGCACATCGCACAGGGACCGAGGTGCGAGTTGAGTACAGAGGAACGTTTGCGTGTCCATCCATTCCATCCATTGCCCATCGTCAGGTGTGACTAATGCGGTTGTTGGAACATCGTTTTCATACAGTTTTCACTTGCCTTAACTGGCCACAACTTGACGTGGGCGGTGAATGGCACCGGGGGACACACACCGGTAGAATTGAACTCGCGCCTCATCCCTGGACCAATAAGATCGTGTCGATGTCCTTGCGAAGCACGTGTTGTTGTGTGTGTCGACGACGATGATGATGATGATGTCCACGTGCAGACTGCCTCGTTTTATGAACCTCGCCTAGCATCCTGAACGTTACCGTGATCAGCTGAACTCTTACTACATTTGCGCACCACCCCCGCCGCCATCATTTACGAATGAATGTTCTCAGTGTGTGGAATAGCCAAAAGCATAGCACCACTAGAGGGTCAGTATTTCCTTCTTACCAGTTACACGTTTTGTACAGAAATAATGTGCATGTATAAAAGTGTACTTTTTTTGTTTTGTATATTTATGACTTATTTTACAATGTTGATAATTTTATTAATGTTGCCTTGGTCTTCCTTTGATAACGTTATTAGTGTCATAACTCGTGGTTGGGAGTGGAGTTCTATATAGAGTCATCTATATTTGCTGCTTTATAACCATTGCAGCAGTCAGATTTTCAGACTTTACAGTAAATTGTATGCGGGGTGTAAGCTTCTGTGTAGAAAGTCTTGTGTTTATAACTGGTCGTATGCTACCTGAGTTTAATTTTCATGTAATTAAAGTGTACATAGTTGTGATAGAGGTCTTTATGTTCCATTTGTTACTAAAAGTACAGTATATATGGTGCAGTTAAGTGGGTTTTTTTAAGCTAATGTTATGTGTTCATAAAGAACAAATAAAATATAAAAATGGTCACTTGTGTGCGTGTGCCATGATTTCCAATTGAGTACTTTGCAAGATGTGTTCACAAATACGCTTACATAAGGATTTTGTAACGTTCCGTATTGTGTATCGAAGGTGAGTCACGTCAGCACTTTTCACTTGTTGCAAGATAAGTTACAAAATGGAACATCCATATTAACTCCCAAAAGGCGGGACAAAACTTGCGACCCTCCAACGTTTTGTAACCAAAATCAGAACGGAGAGACGACGAGTCGCAACGACTCTTGTCAATGGCCAAAGGTGAGAACGATCTGTCGAGATTTTGTAACATCCTTTCAGAAGATGTGCTCAATTGAGCGTTACAGCCAACTTCATCTCGAGCGTCAAAAGCCGTCCCGTCCCATGCCATGGATGACCAAGTAACATCGTCGCGTTAATAAGAGAGAACTCGAAATGCGTTAATTTTAAACCACGCATTTGGAATGGTCAGCGATATCGCCGCTATTTAACTGGGGTTGTAAATCTAGGACACCCATCCACTGCTCTCCGAAGTGCCCATCTGGCACCACGCGAATATGCGGGTCAAGGTGAGTGACAATTTATAAAGACTAGACCTGCAGTGATATTGACGGACACAAGAATATCGCATTGTATTTTGCGAACGCGGACAGTTTGACTTGATTTTAAGGGATGCTGATTACAGACACGGGTCGCGTGTTGGGGTGATTTCTGGCTTTAATCCTCATCAGCCATGGTCAATCTGCCAAGTGGGAGGAAAACCTCCCAAAGTCAAGTTGTCGCCAGATCACTTCTCTGCAATTTAATAATCCACCAAGCATCCCCACACGTGTATGTGGGATTTATAATTAAGAGTTGCGGTTGTGGGGTGGATTGTTGCATCGTGGGACTTGAAAGAGGATGGTGTTTTTTATGGGAGTTATCCATCAGTGGTTTGATCACGGCTGATAATGAATTTGCTTCAAACGTGTATACATTATAGCCGTGCATTTGATGACGGCGGTTTGATGGATTGCCACCAATCAGGGTTGAGATTTGCATTTTTAAAAATGCCTTTTTTTCGTCTTTTTTTTTAATCGTCTTATTTTCCATTTCTTCCGTCTCGTCTGCACAGTTCCGAGCACTCCTGCCGCCATGAAAGTCGCACACGCATACACTCTGTCCAACATGTAACCCGCTGCACCCAGATCCAACGCGTGAAACCCGTGAACACGAACACACAAAAAGAGCGCCGTTGGGATAAACGAAGTCGATGCCTCGTTACGCACCGCACGTGTCTCGTCGTGTCCGCTGAATGTGACTTGACAAGGGGGGCCCCTTTGTGCGAGGTTGTTAGTGTCGCCCAATCGGCTCATTGTGGACGCTTGCCCGTCAACGTTTTGCTTGCTGAACAGCGCGCGCGCGTGTTTATTTGTTGCAGAACTTCATTGATCCATCGCATGTCTATCGGCCAGACATCGGTGACCTATGTAGCAAATCCAACAAGGAACACTTCCGAAACTTTGAGGTAAGGCCCCGGAAAAAAAAAGCCTCCACTGCGCTGCCAAAATTTATCTCAATTAACTTTGATGCCCATTTGTTACAATCCACTGCTGGATGAAGGCCTCCCCAAGATGCCCCCCGCATCTTTCACGAACCTGCCATGTCATAATCCACCTAAGCACCGGCACACAAGGCGATTTCATCGTTCCGTCTCTTGAGCCTCTCGTTTCTCGGACGCGTTCACGTAGACTCGTGTTTTTTTTTCATACGTGAATTGTATTCCTCCGCAACTGTTCCTATCTGATCTCACATCCAGCTAGTTTCAGGATATTGTGGATTTTTGACACCTCGTGTTTTACGATTGTTGTACAGTACCGTTGCTGTGCACCTGCTTTCGTATTTCTTTGCTTTTGTAATCCAGTCCTCCTTTGAGCGACTTGTCGTAGTACCTCCGATTAGCACGGGTGGCTGCGTACGGTGCGAAAGAAGTTCAACGTACATACGTAGATGAAGTGCCACCGATTTAAGAGATTCTGTATGCCTGCAAGAATAGCCAAATGTCTAGGAACTGACTGCCCATTCGTTTCTTCACGCGTTCCTCCACCTTTACAGAATGGCCCGCTCCAGGAACGCATCAAGAAAACCTATAAAGAAATGCACACCTACCAGACCGTGGAGCTCGTTCGTAAAAAGGTGACGACTTTTGAGGTCATAGCTGTAGATGATAAGCGTGGGGAGCGGCGGTGTAGCGGTTAGCGCACTGCCCTACGAACCGGCAGACCCGAGTTCGATTCCCTGCTCACGGCACAACACCGGTGACCATTATCTGAACTTGAGCATGGGCCTCCCCTAGGTCGACTCGGTCTCAAATGAGTAACCGGTGCGATGTGTAAACATCATCACTCGGGAGACAGAGGCGGCCGGGAATGGTGTCGGCCACTCCCTTGTGTGCTGTGCCGGCCTTTATAGGTGCCACTCGCTAACAGCACTTGCCCCAACAGTCTGTCATAGAATCTTTGTTGTAAACCAAGAAAAGGAAAAGTTCTGACAGTCCAAAGAGCATTGTCTCGACAGCCTCACATCGTTCCTGGTTAATACTAACCACGGTTAGTCATTGATGTTGCAGGAAAGTGTGCATCGATACCTCGAGGAGTTGATGTACTGAATCATGCAAAAGATCTATCGCGTGATTAAATTCTCAATGAGACCTCAAGGTTTCGTGTTTTTGTGTAGGAGAGTCCTGCCTTGGATATATGTGGGATATTGGGCAAATTATTTATTGTACGTGAGGACAATAGGCTGCTTATTTCTATAGTCATTGGACGATCAAGGATATTTTTTTCGTACGACACAAGCTTCCAATACTGATTTCTCGATCTGTAGATTAGCAAAATAAAGTGTCCATATACGTATATTTACAATAAACGTAACATGCTGAGTACTAACATGCTTGGTGCACCTCGTCTACGATGCACGTACATCCACGTGCTTTCATGTCCACCTCTCTTTGCGCGGTAGAATCTCCAATTTTAGTTTTTAATAACAATTAATTATTTAAACTTAACGCGCAGCAAGAGAGTATTCGCCCACTCTTGTACAGCGAGAACAACTCAAAGGAGTGAAGAACCACAGACAAGCTGGAAGGCAGCCACGCGATGAACCAGCGCGACCAACAATTGCCCACGTTCTGCCGTCCCCGACCTATTAAGATGTTATTGGGCAATTAATGAGTGCTCACGTGTGGGAGGAAACCGGAGCTGCCAGAATAACGAGCCCACACGTGCTTGGCTGGAAACACTCTCCCATACAGAGGGAATAGGTGGAGTCCACATATTTTCTGCATTGCCCTCTACTGGAAAGTCAGGGTTATGACATCTCTCCGCACACGGGAAGGGAGTTTCACAACGTATTTACGATCCGCCGCCAACCCTCAAAAGGCTCCCTTTTAATGGATTGACCTGGCAGCACGATGAATCGTTATTTCAAGTGCAACTCATGGGTGCATTGTCAGGCTAGAGATGTGACAGATGTTGCACGTTATGAATCTGCGAGATTCCACCCCTTGCCGCCGTCCCCGCAGTACGCACAGTGGGGCCGCATGGAGCGCACGCGCATGAGCATCATGCAGGCGCTCGCCGAGATGGACCTGATGGTGGACGAGTCGGACCCGGACGTGGACTTCCCCAACTCGTTCCACGCGTACCAGACGGCGGAGGCCATCCGCCAGGCTCACCCGGACAAGGGTCCGTGTGCTCGCCAACACACACAAAAATGACACAAGTGCCGCGTGTTAAACCCGTGTTCGGCGACCCAGGAATCGTCGATCCATTTCGCGTCCGGCTTCGACAGCGTGGCACGGATCGGGACCGCAAGGCTCTGCGTCCTCCCCGACCCACCCGACCGCCCCACTGTTTTATAAACCCAGGGCCGAGCCGATCAGCTTGGTTCCTCGAACCGAGCCGGTACTCTTCCTCGTGATCGTGCAGGACATGGTACAACAATCTTGACTTAAAGCTTTCGTGATTGCAGGAATTCATGTTCTTGGGTCTTTCGGTGAAGTCACGTAGATAGGTTCAAATAAAAATAACAAAAATTACAAAAAACTACGACTTTCGATCAGGAAAAAACGAACGCTTGTGTTGCGATGGAAACGTCGTAATGTTTGGGTTATTTTTATTTGAACCTATCTACGTGACTGTACCGAAAGAGCCAAGAATATGGTACAACAATAGCAGTCCATTGGCCCAGAACAAAGACCCGGTGTCGGTGACGACTCAACTTTTTACAATTCTCAGCAGTGTCTTATCTCAATGAAGAGTACTGCGCTCATAAATAGTTATGATGTAGCTCCGTTTGATCGAGATATATAAATATATATTTTACTTGATCGTAAGTAAGTCTGAACGCGTATTATCTTACTCTATTATGAGTCCAGGCCATGACAAATGCGTGCCGCATGACTTGGTAGAACTAGAGTGGTTTCAACAACAATTATTATTTTTTATAAACAGATGAAAACGTATCATCCCCTAGAATACAAACACATTACAATAGGCTACAATTGTATTAAATACTTGACATGTAATAATGTTTCATAGTACAGAACAGGCAGAACATATTGACTTGTAAAACAGTTATAGATTATTTTTCATGGCTCTAAAAATACATTTTTTTTACAAAGTTGACAAATAAAAAGTTTAGGTTTTAAATGGTACCAACGTCTTTGCGTGGCCAATAAAAGTGAACGATGTGATGAACTTTTCACATCGGTAAGTTGTCGCACAGTTAACTTTATGGTCATAATATAAAGATTGGTACCACTAAAAAATTTCCACCACGGTTATGCTCTGGTCCATGGCCTATAACCGATGGGTGAGAATTTCTGTTACAGCGACCTATATTAATTCATAATCGGTGCCAGTGAATGTAAGTCTGGTTAATATAATGTTCATGTGCAGAAATAGAAAAGAGGTAAATTTATTTCACGCATTTATTTACTTGGTCTTTATGGGTTAGATGTGGTAGTTAAAGACCATGGTTTAGTTTGTCTTGATAATAACAGCTGACTGCCCTGTGGTAATCCTCTACTGTAGGTTCTTCACGTGCAGTGTTGGCCATGGGGGTTGTTTGACCATACTTCACCACGATGGCCATTGCAGTTTGGTGAAGGGGTAGGGCCCAGGACCAGTTGAGATATCACTTTCCACTGATTCATAGTAAAGGTTTTTGGGTTAGATCGCGTTATTTATAAATGTGTCGTAACCCTCCACCACCCGACACGGCCAATCAGCAAAAAAAGTGTCACGTTGACAAAAGACAAATAGTTCACTACTTTAGCCCACCGGTGTGTTGAAGAGTGAATCCACAACATTTACAGTTTGAGTACGACGTTTCGCTGGTAATTACATCCAGCATCATCAGCATCATCGGGCAATTCGCCAGAATTCTGGAGAATTGCCCGATGATGCTGGATGTAATTACCAGCGAAACGTCGTACTCAAACTGTAAATGTTGTGGATTCACTCTTCAACATACCGGTGAGCTAAAGTAGTGAACTATTTGTCTTTTATCAACGTGACACTTTTTTTGCTGATTGGCCGTGTCGGGTGGTGGACGGCTACGACACATTTATAAATAACGCGATCTAACCCAAAAACCTTTATTATGAATAATATTGGTCGCGAAAGCCTACGTGTTAAACCGACTTTCCACTGATGTTAGCACGGGTTTGGAATCAAAGTCAGGTTGGTGGGCTCACAGCGGTCCTGGGTCCTCCCCTCCTTCACCAACCCACAATAACCAGCGTGGTGAAGTATGGTCAAACAACCTCCATGACTGATACAGTATGGGGAGGGGGTGGCTTTAATTCAACAGTGGATTAACAAACAGATGTAAATAATTGAAATATAATAATTCAATTGATATTTACGTACTGAAAAGGTTGGCCAACGTGAGAGTGCTTGAAGGTCTGTGATAGTTGAGATTGTCTATACTCACGCAAGGATGGGGGGGTTGCTTGTACATCGCATCATACAAACATTCACTGCTTTTTTTGCTGTGCTCATTCTCCTGCAGACTGGCTCCAGCTTGTCGGCCTAATCCACGACCTCGGGAAGGTCATGGCCCGCTGGGGAGAGCCCCAGGTGAGGTCCACGCGCACGCCGCACTCGTTCGGGGGGGTGGCAAAAGCTGCGGCGGCTCCAGAGCCGCGTGCGGCTCTCTGGCCTCTCTCTGTGGTTATCACGCAGCTGTTGACCTCTTGCTGTGGTATCACACGCAGCTGTTGACCTCTTGTTGTGGTATCACACACAGCTGTTGACCTCTTGTTGTGGTATCTCACACAGCTGTTGACCTCGTGTTGTGGTATCACACACAGCTGTTGACCTCTTGTTGTGGTATCACACACAGCTGTTGACCTCTTGTTGTGGTATCACACAGCTGTTGACCTCTTGTTGTGGTATCACACACAGCCGTTGACCTCTTGCTGTGGTCTCTCACACAGCTGTTGTAGTTGAGTGAATGTGTGAATAATTTTGCCTCCAGTGGTGCGTGGTTGGAGATACCTTTCCAGTTGGATGCGCTTTCCAGAAATCGATCGTCTACAGAGACTCCACTTTCCAAGATAACCCGGACTCACACGACGTGCGCTACAAGTAAATGCAACGTGACACTCATTGTGGATTATGCACGGGCCAAAATTCACATTTACCCTAGACACGAAAGTCGTAAGGCATACAGCCCATCTCCCAGTGGGAGGTGTGCCTAGATATTGGAAGCTAAACAGGCATTTAGCTGGTCAATAATAATAATTATTATTTCTATAGCGCCGTAACATGGTAAGACTTTACAAGGGTGCTTACACGATTGATCACTGTGAGGCTTGCCAAGTGCTGTCGGGCAAGGTGCGGGAAGGAGGAGATAGCGGTGCTGAGTGTTACACCCTCTGATGCGTGGTGGGTGTTCTCTGGGTACTCAAGATATCCTCCCACTCGTTGCACACCTCGTTCATAGCAGTGGCCATCTATCCCAATACAGGAGGACCCCCCCTCCACCTTCCTAAACAAAAAAACAATGGAAAGTCTTGCGACTCAGTGAGGCTTTTCTGGGTAAATGTTTGGCATTGTTCTACTGATCGGCATCATCACGCAACAGATTGTAGGATTACGCACACCGCCGTTCACAGAGTTAATTCGCAGCACTCAGACGCTTCGGGGCAGTCGTTGTGCTTCATGTCGCTGCTGTCACACAACCTTGGCATAAGGGAGCCTTCTAAAGACGGAGTCACGAGTGGGAATAGTGGGGCGAGGGTATGAAGCTTAATAGCTTTAACGGCGTTATAAACTCTCCAGATTAAGCTTCTCCGGAGTTAATGAAGAAGTGACCCCAGTGTGTCACCTGGGTCGCGTCTCTAGTGCACCACTAATTGAGTCAGTGGGACTTTATGCAACATGGCTGTCCGGAGGCAAATCCCTTGCTCGTAGAATAATACGGAGGGCAAAAAAAATGAAGAATAATATATAAAGAGACTAATTAAGCATGCTTATGTATACGGAGCGGTCTGCTTGTTAACAATTAACCCCACGACCAGGCGCCCAATGAACGGCATAAATCGTGAAAAGTACATTCATTAAAACAGCCGGATAATTTCATTAACGGCGTACATACAAATGTATTTAAACTAAGGCTGTTGGCTTTCCCGCCCATTTGCAGTACTCCCTGCGGCATATACGAGCCCAACTGCGGCTTGGACAAAGTCTCCATGTCGTGGGGTCACGATGGTAAGGCGGCGTGTGTGGCCACACACTCATTGTTACAGCAGAAGCTCACAGCGAGCAAGGCCGGGTGTCCTGACATCCGCAGGAAAGCGTGCTTATTTCAGAAGTTACACGCGTGTGTTGCTTGTATCAGAATCGTGCTGATATGAGGTCCGCTTAATATCCAGCCTCTTGTTATTGCATCTTAAGAAAATGCCCCGCGATGTATTCTGTCACGTAACAAAAAAACACACACACACGTACATTATCCGGCGAAAAGGGGTTTTAGTGAAGCCGAGAGCAGGCGGCGTTCATGTGCACGAGACGCCCGTGCGGAGGTGCTCATCGTGTGCAGTAGAGAAAGTAGGCTGCTGATCGAGCTGCCCGGCATGCTGTGTTTCTTCTCCTCGCACGCTTCGGCTTTCTCCGTCCAAGAGAAATAGTGCAGTCAGAGGGTGTAGCCACACAACGCGAGCACGTCGCCTCTCGCGACCAATATCGTCTATAATACAAGTTTGTTTTTGTTTTAGGGTTAGATCGCGTAAATATATAAATGTGTCGTTACACCCGCCACCACCCGACACGGCCAACTAGTAAGGTTTGTCACGTAAACAGAACGTGCCAATTCGTTACGAGTACAGCACCACCGGTGTATTGGAGTTACTCTGCAACGTTCACGTGACAAACCTTACTGTTTGGCCGTGTCGGGTGGTGGCGGGTTTAACGACACATTTCTATTTACGTGATCTAACCCCCCCAAAAAATTAAACAAAAATGTATACTATGAATGCAAGCGGCACCGTCCTGGAAGAAAAAAAAACATTGACACTCAACGGGGGTTTAATTGGGCAAGACAACAAGGATGAATTTCGGTAAAGTCACGGCAAAAGAAAATAAATGTAATAACACAATACGACGTGTTTTGTCTCTCTCTCTCTCAAAGTCACTTCTACCTGATGACCACTGCTTGTGTTGCAATAGAAACGGTGTATTCTACCATTTAATGTTTTTTCTTTCGACGTGACTTTACCGAAAGAACCAAAGAGTATTGTTATTTCGTTCGAGACAAGCCGCATCTGTGTATTGCTGACGAGTCGTAGAGAACCCGAAACCAAACACTGCTGGAAAATATTGGTCCGTCAGACCCACAGACTGACGATGAACTAAAATGTCTGTAACGTGTATTTATTTTCTAACTTTGCCGACTTTGTTTTCGCGTGTGCTCGTGAGAAAGAAAAAAAACATCCGTCTGGCATTTGTTTCAGAGTACATGTACCGGGTGTTGAAGTTTAACGAGTGCACCATCCCCGAGGAGGTGAGTTTCCAATCACGAGAACATTCTCATCGAGGGAGGTGGGGATACTTTTTTTTAAAATGCTCAAACTTTATTTCGTATCTTGATTTGAAGCTTTCGTGACTGCAAGAATCCATACTCTTTGGTTCTTTCGGTAAAGTCACGTGGTAGGTATAAAATAAAATAAATCACGACGTTTCGGGCGCAACACAAGCGTCCGTCATCAGGTGGGAAAGCCATGGTCTGCTGCTGAGGCAGACTGTTTAAAAAGGTTTAAAATTGTTGTAGCTCAAGGGTCATATTTAATTTGTATCTTGATTTGAAGCTTTCGTGACTGGCAGGAATCCATACTCCGTGGTTCGATCGGTAAAGTCACGTGGGTATACCTACGTGACTTTACCGAAATAACCATATTTTTTTATTTTCCTTAGCTTTCACCAGCAGGTGTTTCTATGCCACGGTGAAGTCGTTTCACTGCCAGACTCTTTGCGTAGGAGTACAAAAAAAACGTCCATTGCGATGAAGCCTTGCCTTGCTGTTATTTCGTTGGGCACGGGTCGGAGATCTGGACTCTGTTGAGAAAGCATCAATTCAGAGCATGCAAGGACTCGCACAGCAACTTGTGAGCTCAGAATAGAACACAGCAAAGCAGCACCGCGTGTGAACATCGGGAGCAGGGGGTGGGGGGGTGTCCTGTCGCGTGAAATGCGTCCGGGATAGAGGTGGTCAGGTTACCACGTGCCGTGCCGGCCTTCATGGACGTGTGCTCGCGAATAGCACTTGCCCCAAAGTCTGTTAAGGCTATACAGGGGATCTTTGTCTTTGCCCACGAGATGCTTGGAGTGAGCGGGGGTGGGGGGTTAGCGCGCTGCGCTACGAACCCGGCGACCCGAGTTCAATTCCCGCTCACGGCCAACACCAGTGACGATTTTCTGAACCGGTAATGAACCTCTTTTAGTTCGACTCAGCCTGAAGAAAATGAGCAGCTGGTGCGATGCGTAAACGTTGCCACTCGGGAGACAAAGGCGGCCGGGCGTGGTGCTGGCCACCCCATCCCCTCGTGTGCCGTTGCGGCCTTCATAGGTGCTCACTAACAGCCTACTCAGATTGTAAATGTTGTGGTTTGGCTCTCCAACACACCGGTGTGCTGTACTCGTGACGAATTTGCCACGTTCTGCTTACGTGACAACCCTTACTAGTTGGCTGTGTCGGGTGGTGGCAGGTTTTCACGACGCATTTTTACGCGATCTAACCCAACAAAAACACCCTCTATTATTAAAGGCTTTCTTGTTACCTTTGCGCTCCTTAGGGTTTTTACATTGTGCGCTACCACTCGTTCTACCCGTGGCACACGGCCGGTGACTATGACCACCTGTGCAACGAGCAGGACAGGGCGATGCTGCCCTGGGTGAGAGAGTTCAAGTGAGTACCGCGTCCATCACTCCTCTAACGCGTCCACATCACTCTTACGCACGTACATCACTCTAACGCGTCCGTCACTCTATAACGCATCCATCACTCGAACGCGCTCGCCCCCTTACTGGGGGACAGTTCGTGAAAAGTCGCAGCTGCAGAAAAATTCAATAAAATCATAAAAAAATATAAGCACAGGCTCTATACCCTATCTGGCAATAAAACAGTAGGTGTTAAGATGTTCAAACACCAAATAAAAAACTTTTGCAAGGCATCACGTGTGCATGAACCACACGTACTTGTGGTGAACATGCAAACAAATATGCTCTGATAATATATGGCATTGCCTTTGAAACTTATTGGCCTACAACAGAGACAGCCTTCTTAACGTGGCCTTGTCTCACCACCAGTGTCAGACCAGAGAAACAACGGCAAAAGGCGAACAGTACAAATATAAGTAAAGCAATTTAACTGAAAGCTGCAGGGCAGTACACCGCCCCTCTCTTCACAAGCAAGCCTAAGTCGCGGACGAGCAAACGAGAGGTGTCCGTGCTGTTTGTGGTGCTCCGTTTCAAGAGAACAACGTCACTCGTGGAACCTCTAGGCGTGACTTCACCTCACAAACGTCCAAAGCCCTCCCCATGCCTCAATTGAAAATTCATCCCAAAGTGATATGGCTCTTATCTTGTCTACATCACTCTAATGCGTCTATCACTCTAATGTGGCCTCTAAGTCGCAAGCTGTCTTGACTTGAGTCTACTAAGCACAAAAAGCAATGACTGAGTTTTAAAATCTTGATTTGAAAGTGCGTAGCTCCAATTGCTTCCTAAAAGTGATGTTGAGGTCCCCACCCAGCTACTTTATAATAAATGATAGCCCGATAGAAGTTCAACATACGTGCATTCATCTGAATTAATAAAATATAACATACAAAAAAACACACCCACCAACCTCCCACCCACATCCAGACGCTGGATGTAGGGTAGAGTATCCACGGAGTGATTTTGTCACACCTCTGCTGGGTGAAGGCCTCCCCATGCCACGTTGGTAATGTGGGGTGGTTGTTTGACCATAACTTCTCAAGACTCTTTAAGATGCAACGTATATGTCCTGTTCATTTATACATATTTTTTTTCTTCTTCATATATAATGTTGCAGCAAATTCGACCTGTACACGAAGAGCGAGGATTTACCCAACGTGGAGGAGTTGAAACCCTACTATGCAGCGCTGGTGGAGAAATACTGCCCCGGGTCACTGCGCTGGTGAATAGTGGGGGATGGGGGGGGCTGAACACAACACCAGCACGGAGGTCGCATGCCGACTACGACATAGCCCCGTGAATTCGTGAAATAGAAACCCAGCCATGGAGTCACTTCGTCACCACAACCGCGAAGATTAGTGCAAACCACGGTCGCACGCGACTAAGCACTTAGGTGAGAGGAGGGATTTTTTTCTCTCTCTCCACTATCAGTCCGGTCCACGCAGCGGAATTTAAATCCCATAAAACCTTTAGCGTTGTGGCGCTGCAGTGAAAAATCACTGATCCAGCCAATCACGATTGAGCTTCGGGGGGCTCACGTGCTGCCCATTTGGCTCCGTGACTATTCTTCAGAACAGCAGTATTCCGCGCTAGAGGGCAATGCTCGCCAATTCTCCGCTGCTTTGTCGTGAAACTGCCAACCCGGATGGGACTGCGAGGAGGCCATGAGATACGGGTACAGCGATTGTTGAATGTATTTTGGCGCGGATCTCCTTTTTAGGAGTGTCCCTTCTCGGTGCGTGTGTTTTCTCTCCAGTGCTTCCACACTCATAAAACACTCGCCATGAATGGAATTCGGCAAATATCCAAACTCATACTGAAGAAAAAAAGAGTTTTGAGACTGGGACTGTTGGTGACTAAATACAGGGTATACAAACTTGATGTGGGGCATACATTTATACATTTACAACGATCAACAACTCCGATGAGCACGGTTGGCTACATACGGTGCGAGAGAAGCGCGCCGTGGATACGTGTGCATGTGAAACGAATAAAAAGGTGAACTCAAACCCACACTTCATTGTCTTTGATCTCGCATCGGTCACTTTCAGCCGCGTTTGTGCCGGCGTCACCTGCAGTGTTGCCTGGGCAAAGGTTGAGAGTTGAGAGTGCGTGCAGGGTAATTTTAGGGTAAACGAGTACACGGACTGAACGCGTTGCGTTTGATGCTTGTTGAGAGGATATAACAAATACTCTCAAGCTTTTGCCACGCACCAATGCGGGTGTCTTCAACCGAATTCTCACTCCTGGATATGCGTCGCAGCAGTGCGTGCCGAAAAGCTTGAGGGAAGAAATACAGGGTGTTTGAAAATTTTGCACCCAATTTCAAAGCAGTATATTTCACGATGGCAACATGTTACAATTACACAAAAAGTTACAAACAGTTTAATGAGTTGTCAAGTTTTACTAACCATTTTATAAATGCTCTGTGTGCCCTCCACCTGCTCACCTGCTGTACGGACAACATCGAGACGATCGCTGAATTCGTCCCAAACGCCGCTCAAAGTGTCTTCTTCCACTGAAGTCACCAATGCCGTGATTCTGTTTTTGAGGTCATCCAGATTAGTCGCTAATGGTGGCACAAAAACACCACAGGTCTTTGACGTATCCCCACAAGAAAAAGTCGCTGGGTGTGATGATGTCTGGGGATCTTGGGGGCCAAGAGTGTAGCACCAAGTCTTGGGGTCCTGTGCGATCTATCCAACGTTGAGGCAGCGCGTCTTGCGAATGACTGAGGCTAGGGGCTGTTTGTGCGCTGGGAGAGGCATCGAGCGGTAATCATTTGAAACTCGATGCTCCACACTTTCAAGTGGTAAGAGTTTCATTCATGGGCAGCTCGTGGTTGCAGAGATATAGCGATTTCAAATCGGGTCTATATTTTTAAAACACCCTGTATTTGGCGCGTAGACCAACCCTGAAGACAACGCTTGGAATTGGTCCGATTATGCAGAGTTCAGTTGTTGGCTGGACACGTTGAGCGGGATCATTGCAATATTGTGTTTGCATTCTTAAGTATTATTTTGAAAATGCACAAATTTGTATTCACGAATCTCTGCTATTTTTCCACATTTAGTTTTTCTTCCGACTCGATGAAATAAATATTCCGCACACTGTTTCTGTAGAGCGTGTTGAGATAGCGTCACATTGTAGCGACGCGATGTACATCCACATTGTATGCTATGTTGTAAGGGTCTCTATATATAACCTGTTGGTCTCTTTATGAGTATTTGTGTAACTCTGCAGGTCTCTGTGTGAGTTTATGGGTTTTCTCTTCTGCCTATGGATGATTATTTATTAATAACAAAAAAACACAGGCAACGGCAGTGTATTGGTTAGCGCATTGCGCTACGAACCCGGTAAACCGAGTTTGACTTCTGCTCACAGCCAACATCGGCGATGAATATCTGAACTGGTCTTGGGTCTCTCCAGAGTCGACTCACCCTTTAAAGTGAGTACCTAGTGCAGTGTGCAGACATCATCGTCACTGGGGGGGACTAATGCAGCCGAGCGTGGTTGCTATACACCAACCCCTTCGTGTGCTGTGCCGACCTTCATAGGTGCTTGCTAACAACACTTGCCCCAACAGCCCGTAAAGGTTATACGGATGATCTTAGTCTTTTATTTTCCTCTGACTACGGAACACTGTCTCTTGAGAAACAAAACAAAACAACATACCTACTGTTTTATGTCCAGCGTCTTGAGATACTGTCGCATTCAGATGCTACATTAATCTACATTTAATTTTCAAGTGAATAGGAAACCCCCCCCCCCACACCCCCGAAATTTGTCCTGCCAAGTCCAACACATCTCATGGGTGAGTTCATTATGCGGCACGTGGGTGCTACCGTCGGTGTCTAAATTAGGTTACTTGGCATTCCCCGGGTCACTTGACCGAGAACGGATTAATTTGCGCGCCTGTGGTTATTTGAAAGTCACCCATTCAATCCCCTCGCCTGGCCACCTTTTTTTTTGTAACCACGAGTGGTGGCTCATTAACCAGATAAATACAGCACGGGTTGCGTGTGTGCACGCGCGCGCCTGTTTGCTTTGGACTCACTCCAGGCATATTCCATTTTTTTTCTTTAAGCCACGGTTCGAGCCGTTCGTTTTACAGCCGTTGTCAAGCCACTGCTGGAGGAGGGACGCCCCGCACGACGCAGTGTCGATCGTGTGGGGCTGTTTGACCATTCTTCACCACAATGGCCAGCGAGCGACCTCCCGCTGAACGAATATGGCTTGGGGGAAGGGCTTCGATGGTAAGCCTTGGTTTGCTGGAGTGGAGAGCGCATGGCGGGGAGTGCGACGATAGGAGACAGGTAGGAGAGTGCGTTGAGGGGAGTAGAGTGGTACGAGAGGGGAGAGGTAGGGGGGGGGGGTAGAGTGAGATGAGAGGGGAGAGGTAGGGAGTAGAGTGAGATGAGAGGTAGGGAGTAGAGTGGTACGAGAGGGGAGAGGTAGGGGGGGAGGTAGAGTGAGATGAGAGGGGAGAGGTAGGGGGTAGAGTGAGATGAGAGGGGAGAGGTAGGGGGGTAGATGGAGATGAGAGGGGAGAGGTAGGGAGGTAGACTGAGATGAGAGGGGAGAGGTAGGGGGTAGAGTGAGATGAGAGGGGAGAGGTAGGGGGTAGAGTGAGATGAGAGGGGAGAGGTAGGGGGTAGAGTGAGATGAGAGGGGAGAGGTAGGGGGTAGAGTGAGATGAGAGGGGAGAGGTAGGGGGTAGAGTGAGATGAGAGGGGAGAGGTAGGGGGGTAGAGTGAGATGAGAGGGGAGAGGTAGGGGGTAGAGTGAGATGAGAGGGGAGAGGTAGGGGGTAGAGTGAGATGAGAGGGGAGAGGTAGGGGGTAGAGTGAGATGAGAGGGGAGAGGTAGGGGGTAGAGTGAGATGAGAGGGGAGAGGTAGGGGGTAGAGTGAGATGAGAGGGAGAGGTAGGGAGGTAGAGTGAGATGAGAGGGAGAGGTAGGGAAGTAGAGTGAGATGAGAGGGGAGAGGTAGGGGGTAGAGTGAGATGAGAGGGGAGAGGTAGGGGGGTAGAGTGAGATGAGAGGTAGGGGGGTAGAGTGAGATGAGAGGGGAGAGGTAGGGGGTAGAGTGAGATGAGAGGGGAGAGGTAGGGGGTAGAGTGAGATGAGAGGGGAGAGGTAGGGGGTAGAGTGAGATGAGAGGGGAGAGGTAGGGGGGTAGAGTGAGATGAGAGGGGAGAGGTAGGGGGTAGAGTGAGATGAGAGGGGAGAGGTAGGGGGTAGAGTGAGATGAGAGGGGAGAGGTAGGGGGGTAGAGTGAGATGAGAGGGGAGAGGTAGGGGGTAGAGTGAGATGAGAGGTAGGGGGTAGAGTGAGATGAGAGGGGAGAGGTGGGGGGGGGGGTAGAGTGAGATGAGAGGTAGGGGGTAGAGTGAGATGAGAGGGGAGAGGTAGGGGGGTAGAGTGAGATGAGAGGGGAGAGGTGGGGGGGGGGTAGAGTGAGATGAGAGGGGAGAGGTAGGGGGGTAGAGTGAGATGAGAGGGGAGAGGTGGGGGGGGGTAGAGTGAGATGAGAGGTAGGAACAGACTAGCCCATAGATGATCTCAGAGAGGACTGACTGCGATCTTGAAATGGATTCGGGACTAGATTGGGAACCGGTGGAGCGATCGGCAGTCCTGGGGCAATGTGGCCTCGTTTACGGGAACGTACACATCGCCTGGCATGAATGCGTTCAGCATCATCAGGCATGTGCAGCGTGTAGAGACAATGTATGATGGGTCGCGAGGAATGAGAGTTCGGTAAGCCCTGTAATATTTTACTCTTTGTTGCTTGCAGGCGAGTACAATCAACCCGCACTGACCGGCGAGGTGAAGTATGGTCAAGTATCCCCCACGCACCCGCACGTGTGTTAGTGGGGAGGCAGTTATCCAGCAGCGGATCGATTAAAAGGGATGTCCGTGTACTTTCACGTCTCATAACGTGATATTTGAACACGCGAGCCTTGAAGTGCGTCGTCAAATATCATGGCTATATTTGATGCTCAAAATGATCAAAGGCTGCTTGTAAGTGGCTTACCTCCTGCAATCCAGCTTAAAGAGTGCACACAATTGTCAGTGGTGAATCCTGTACATCCTGGAAGCGCCAGCGTTTATCAATTTGAGTTCATTCATAACTTTGGTCTTCATACGTAAACCGTATGGTATATAAACACGATAACCCATGTTAAATCCACCTCTGCGTGAAGGCCTCGTCATGCATGGAAGATTGTTTGACCATACTTCACAACGCTGTCCAGTGGGGGTTCGTGAAAGGACGTTGAGGTGAAGACATGCCTTAAGCGATTCGGATATTAGTCGTCGAATGTACGTGATCAGAAATTAAACTCCAGCTCGACGGGGTAATAACGTTGCAGGCAGTGCGCTAACACCCTGTGTCACCGCTCCTAGCCCCTTAACCTTCACGAGTTGCTTCAAGTGGAAAACTACATTATTGACGTTTCGTTAAATTTCGATTTAAAGCTTTCGTGACTGCAATGATTAATCTTCTTTGGTTCTTTCGGTAAAGTCACGTAGAATGAGAATAAAATAATAAATTAATAAAATATTATTGTGTTATTTTATTTTATCAATTTATTATTTTATTCTCATTCTACGTGACTTTACCGAAAGAACCAAAGAAGACGTTTCGTTAGTTACAATGGTTGGCCACGTACGATGCGAGAGAAGATTCAACGTATACACACACAGCTGTCCTAATGAGCCATCTATATCTTGCATATGAAAGGCTCGTGGATGTCTGCAACAAACTCAGCCGGCTTCCAATGATAACGTTGCTCTATCAAGAGTCAGACCGTCGTGGTGTTGTCGGGAAAGAACCCAGAAATGGACAAGTGTCTTTCAATAACAACAATAATAATGATCATTCAAACGCACAATTCGCAAATGCATGAAAAGCAGCAAACAAAACAGAACCAGGGTTACCGACCAAACACTAAAGAGGGAAGGTAGGATTAAAGGAATGTTTGATAAAAAAAAATACAAAAACAAC